CCCCCCCCCCCCCCCCCATGTGCATCCTGCAGAAATTAATGTAGACTTCAGTGGAATAATTACATAATTTGGCAAATACATGCTATCGTTTTGTACCAAATTTCATTTTACCATGCAGAAGAAAGACAAAATTATCAATATGCTGCACCACACGACTGACGTACAAACAATATATGTATTGGTCTAAGTAACAATATTATATTTGGCGTACGACAATTGATACAAAGAGTTTTGTCTACATTACGTTAGTTTAAGTTCCTAGCTAGTATCCTTTAAAGTACGTCTTAAAATTCAAACACTATCACCAATTTTCTCCTTCAACACTGGAACAACACATGTATTGTACTCTTGCTTTGGTGGGTTTCGTCGGCGAAATGTGAGAAACAATGTAACAAGGAGAAGAATAGCGAGGAAAGCAACAATACCCTGCCATACAACAATTGGTCCCATGCTACTATTGCCAGATTTTTCTTCTTTCTCTGATTCCAACCTTGCTGCAATGTTTGATTCCAACTTTACTGCTATGTGATCACATACACCCTTTGGAATAGTCTGACCTGTTGAAATAATATCAATTATTGTTAGAACAGGAAGGAACACAGCACAAAGGGAATCAGGACTGGCGTTCCTTGGCCATTACATGTGGGGAGAGGGTTGACACCCCATTTTTACCAACGAATTACCTACTAAAAAAAATTAAAGTTGAATTTTAAATCTCCTCCTACAGATGCAATGCGACTCAATTTGATCGAAATTCTATAATATTGTAAAGTACTATTGGTAAAAACCAATCGAAACAGCAGCATACAGTAAGTGCTTGACAAAGACTCTAAAAAAGATTTTACCGATTTTCCCATATTTTACCGATCCGCGTTCCATTTTACCGACAATCTTGGGGCACAACCCCCACCCCCTTTCCCCCTCGCTAGGTAAGCCTCTTGTTGCATGAGTGATATGAATAGGTTGCCGCATCTTTTTACCAAGTTCTTCTCAATATAATTTTCGCACACTAGTGATGTTCTAAATATTGAAGAGAAGCATTAACTCACCTATTGGTCGTATTATCGTCCATATCAGTTGGTCTTTTTTAAACCCGTTGTCAGCTGTGCAACGGTACAATCTTATTCCTCCTGCTTGACGAGACAAGATTTTGATAGTGTTATTCTGTCTTGATTGAACTGATTTCCATTCATCCTTACTCTGACAAGATGCGACATCTTTGTCGCAATACGCCCACGAATACGTGATGTTTTCAGGATTAGCGTTTTTCGACAGTACACAATGAAGATGAAGGTTCTTCTTGTATATTTGAATTTCTGATTTGAGTGCAACCAAACGTGGTCTGGCTAAAGAAAGAAAAACATATATAGATATAATCAACAAGTACTCAAGTAGAAAATTCAAGCAACATCATTAGGCGCCTCATGAATGTTTAGTCGCAGATTTAGCCACCACATGCATGTCTCTCATAACGTTTCCTGAGGGTAAGGAGCATTCTTAATTTATCTAGGCGGGAGCAGCTAATCCGTGAATCATAAAAAGCTGTGCACATAAAGTAGGCTGTTAGTTTCGTAAAGGAGAAATTTTCATCTGAACTTTTGAGGTTAGTATTGACCAGTTCTGATCGAAAGTCTTTTGCACGTTAATCTTAACAAGACGCATAGGCGTACGGGACGGGGGGCAGGGGGAACAGCTGCCCCCCCCCCCAACAAGATTACAAAGTCGAAAAAAGTCGGGCAAATGTTCAACAAAAGTCGGGCAAAAAGTAGTCAAAACAAGAAAATCTCTCTTAATAATAACCCCAGTTTGTTGGGCAAACAAAGCCAGTTGGGCAATATTCGCTTGACAGTCGGGCAGTATATTTGGTTATTATAAAAATAAATGGGACAAATTATGTAAATTTTGTGGGAAATTATGTCAATTTTTCGATTTTTGGGAAAATTTGTTTGATGTTCCGAAAAATTTGGGTATGTCCGAAAAATTTTTGGACCCTAAAATGGTACACTTTTTTTGGCGACGGGGAGGGGAGGTCGCCAAAATAAATTGTTCCGGAAAAAAACAACTTCGGCACTTGTCGGGCACAATCCGAAAAAGTCGAGCAAATTTCTTTCTGCCCCCCTAATTTTTTCCTTCCCGTACGCCTATGACAAGACGCTCTATTGAGCGTTAATCGATGGGGCTATTGGCAGTGCAGTTTTAAGGATTCTTTGGTGGTGGGGCAAAACTGCCAACCAAAAGGGCCCATTTTCCTTGCCCTCCCCCCAGGATAGTATGCGATTGTCGATTATGGAAAGCATGCCCCCCCCCGCAGGAAATGTTTAAAATTTGGGTCTCTGAAATAGCTTTTCCTAAATTCTTAGAACACATTTAATTTATAATAGGTTTTGTTTGTGAAACCACCACGTAAATTTATTACTACAAAGCTTTCGATCCGTAAGCCCGGATCTTCATCAGTGCTAATAATATGAATAGTAATAAATTTACGTGGTGTTTCCACAAACAAAACCTATTATATTTTATCACCATGCAAACATACAAAGAACTTACATTTAATTTAATTTAAAAAAAATCTCTATACTATATAGTTATACCCAATTCAAACTTCACATAACTCATATGCCTAATTATCATTATTCTAGTATAAAGCATAGAGTAGAACAAATTAAAGGTAACTAAGCCGCTTTAGAAATATCTACATGAATGAATGACGTAGTGCTTATCAAATGCTTAGTCACCTTTGTTCTATTCTATATGTGAACTGTGAAGTGTGAACTACTGTAGAACAGTAACTATAGGCATGAATATTTAAAGTTGTGAGTTGAATAACAACAATGTAAACAACGTTTATATGGAATTTATAGGGAATTCCATTGTGTTTGCACCCCTTGCACTATTGTGTTTCATTATGGCGTCTTGACCTTGAAAGGGTCTATTACTGCGGCCCCAACATTTCCCCGTTTTAAACACAATACATTGATCGTGAAATGACTGGAATACTGCAGGTTTACAAGCCTGACACCTATAGCGCCGAAGTTCAAGTTCCACACAAGTAGTGATGATCCGATCGCTGTGCATGTGATGTGGTTGTATATATTTCTGTCTTGTTAGGCGACAACATGTTCTTTTCACCGCCTATCCGTAATCCGTATCCGGATTTATTTGCATTAAGGGTCGTACAAAACAGCAACTTGTATGAGTATTATCTGATTATAAAGGTTGCCGTTCCATTTAACTTTGTCTTTGACTTTGTGAAATTGAAAATTGTCAACTTTTGTCGTCTATTTCAAGCTTCCAGCCTTCCACGTTTACTGACATAAGATGACTTTCGGTTTATAAAGTCTGGTTTATGGGAAGACGTTTAAGTTTTGTCGGAAAAATAATGAAAATATGCACAAAAGCGATGAAATTAATACTAAATACGCTCCCGAGTAAGCGGCCATCTTGAATCCAGCGACTCACAGCAATGACGTAATTTTTTATAAAAAAAATGACGTAGGTAATTTTGTGACTAACAATCCGCGAAAAGCCGAAACCTATAGTCGCTGGAGACACAGAGTGCCCCAGCGACTAATAAGATAAATTAAGTTTGATCGAAACTCTTTTGTTAATCCCTGCCCTACATACTGCAACCACTGAAAACATTTGCATATAAGGAGAGAATCAGGGGTTCACGATTCCCTCTACTGAGTAGTCGTTCATTTCAAGTTGTCCGGCATACCTCGTGCATGAGCTTGAGCATGATCTTATTTTTGTGGCTAGCCCGTTCACGGTTCGAGTTGTGACGGAAATTGTCGACTTTACTTCGGAAACTGTCGTTCATGCCATTACTAATGCTGAAGCAAAATTTGATTATGTCCGCGAAAGTCTGCGATGTTTACAAAATCACAGTTGCCAGTTGGCAACGTTGGCAGAAATACTCGAAAGGAATTTTTCAGTTAATTAAAGCAAACGGTAAGTTAATCTTTGTTATTTCAATCTATATTTGTGTTTATAAATTGTGATTGAATCTGCACGTCATTTATAAATAGAAACATTGCTATTCATGTCTGCTCTGGACACTGCCTCTGGTAAAAGAGATTTTGATCACGCTTCATAATATAAAGCTTTAATATTAGCGCTTGCACAGATCTTGAATTTTAATATACTTGCATTGTGTGGGTATTATACTGTAACTGCTCTATCAACTTACAGGTATAAAACGTACAATTATTATTAGTAAACACCGAAAACATGCTGGACTATTTTTTATTACTACTGTAGTCACTGACATCGCTCTGACTGCAAATATGGGTCCGGTGCTATTATTGAGATTTATTGTTCAAGGATTGTCTCCCACCACAATTTTACACACAGTGCAATGGAAGTAGGGCCGTACGCAGTATTTTTTCACCAAGGGGCAGTAAGGCCTATATGCCGAAAAAGTCCCAAATATCCAAAGAATAATTAATAATGACATTCTAAGAATCGTAAATATAGTTTTCTCTTGGGGGCGGGGCAGTTTCCTCCCTTGCCACTCGCTGTGTACGGCGCTGAATGGAAGCTCAGTCTGTTTATAGGTACAGCTGAAGGATCTTGTACATGGAAATAATCGAGTGGAAATGTATTTTGATTATTGTTAGTGGAAATGTTATTTGTTTGCGAATTTGCTTTAGAAAACGCCAGCAATTAATGCAGTCCTGGAGCTTCAAAAATGTAAACATTTGGGGGTCGGGGAGGACCCACTTACATGATAAGCATTTTTAAAATTAATTAAATTATTAAGGACTTATCGCGTTGGTTTCCTCTTATGAAATGTTGTAATACTAGACTAATAATCTGCTAATATATCGTCGTGGGTCGTGGACTGAAACGTCGCATGAATCACTCATAACCGCCCGCAATTATGAGTAAACCGGTGGTCAGAGTTTTCTCAATGAGAGTAAACCGGTCGATACGCCATTCGATTGGCTAAACGGCTGCGCTCCGCCGGATGTAAACCGGTCATAAGCCTGTGAGTCGAGCAGTATTTAGAGAAAACTGGGCATGAAAGTTAACAGAACTCGAGGACGCGCGAAATATGTTTATATTAAATTTTCCGTGACTGAATCTTTGCGTTGGCGATAGAAGCATTTGCATGGATTTCTTGTTCATTTTGAAGGTTTGTTTAAAAGTATATAGTCTAAAGTTATAACTGTAAGCTATTTCTACTTACTGTATAATAAATATCGATCCATCAACAAGCGTATCGATGTTTATACGTATAACTTCTACTCAGTCTATACTCATGATAGCGCGAAATATGTGTATAATATATATTGCGTGACCGAATCATTGCGTTCGCGATAGAGAATTGGGAAATGATTGTGTGGTTTCCATTTCATTGTTAAAGTTGGTTTGAAAGCGTACAGATCTAAAATTACAACTATGTTTATATTAAAAGCATCTCTACTTGTTGTACTTATAATAAATATCGATGCGTCAGCAATTTGCCAATCCTATATTTTCATCACTAGCTAATAAGTTTCCGAAAAGGTTCAATTCATTGTTTGAGCTGCGTATATTAGTCCAAATTCTCTTAAAAACATGTGTTTTCCAACGATTAAATTAATTTTAAAAGTGACGCCAGAACGCAGGAAACGCTGTTTCAGAGGCCCAAATTTTAAAAATTTCCCGGGGGAGCATGCCCCCGGACCCCCCAAGAGGTTCTGTGGACCTAGTAAACCGGTCATCCAAAAGGCTGGATCCGCCCCTGCGGCTTGGTCCTCGCCAATATCGTGTTAGCTCCAAACAAAGACGGTGATTACCGGTTTTGCGTTGACTTTCGACGTGTTCATTCCGTAACAAAGAAGGACGCTCAGCCAATGCCCCGTATCAACGACATTCTACACCAGTTGTGCACGTTACTTCAGTACCCTAGATCTCGCTTCCGGGTACTGGCAGGTACCTTAAAGAGAGGAGGATAGGGAGAAGACTGCATCTCACGGTGATGCCTTTCGGTTTAACCAACGCTTCCGCCACGTTTCAGCGCATGATGGGAAACGTCTTGAAGGTGATAAAGGGGTGCCTTATTTTCATCGACGACATAATCATCTTTTCCGAGACGTGGGAGGAACACCAGCTAATTTTGAAAGAAGTATTTAGTCGTATTCACGCTGCTGGGTTGAAAGTAAAGCGGGAAAAGTGCCAGCTCGCGCAGGAGTCAGTTAAGTTTCTTGGCCATATCGTATCGGCGTGAGGGACTGAGCCGGATCCATCGAAGGTCGAGGCGGTGCGAGACTTTGCAACTCCATCTTCCCTTACCGATGTTCGTGCATTCATCGGTATGGCATCTTACTATCGAAGCTTTATAAAGAATTTCACGGGCAGCGCTATGCGCCCTTGCATGACATGACTAAAGGTAGTCAGCCAGAGTTCAACTGGACGCCGTTAGCGGACAAGTCGTTCAATGAGCTTAAGAACCGCCTGTGTACAGCGCCAATCCTATCTTACAACGCCAATCCTAGGACTTTTCAGTTCCTTTCATTGTATATACGGATGCCAGCGATTACGGACTCGGTGCCGTCTTGTCGCAACGAAGAGGTGATCATGAATGTGTGATCGCGTACGCCAGTCCAACACTGACGCCAGCAGAAAGAAATTACTCGACGACAGAGAAAGAGTGTTTGGCCATCGTATGGACAGTGAACTATTGGCGGCCATATTTGCTCGGTAAAGCGTTCGACATTGTGACGGACCACCAAAGTTTGACATGGTTGCAGGGGCTAAAGGAACCTAAAGGCCGTCTTGCTCGGTGGATACTCGCCTTGCAGGAATACGAAAATAAACATCGGCCGGGGAAACAGCACGACAATGCAGATACACTTTCCAGGTTCCCTCGAGGGTCACTCGCTCTTGTTCCGGATTGGAGCCCCGATGAGGACCTGATGGTCGGAGTAGCAGCCACGGAAGTGAATGCATCGTGGTCGAAAGAAGAGATAATCAAGGCGCAACAGCACGATCCAAGCATTTTTTTGGTAGTGCAGAAGCTACGTTGCACTAACACAGCACCAAAGGAAGACGAGGATGGTTGGAATGGAAATGAGAAACTGTATCCTACATCATTGTGTGGATAAAGGCACACCCACAGAGCGGTTGGTGTGGGTAG